TAATTTCATAATAAAGCTACCTTAATGATTATACTACTAATAACACAAATGACTTTCAGTATCAGTAGATAAATAAATTGGTCAAATATAGATATTACAAAACTTGTGAGCAGGTGTTCTGTACACAGGCAACAGCGAAGGCTGCCTTTAGGAAAGACTGGCTTAATAGAACTGGAAACCAGTGGTTTGACAGAAGAGAGCTAGGTAATTTACTACAAAATGCGTATTTATAATTAACAAACACACGTGAAAATGCTAGCAAGGATTTCTGCTTTTTCTAATGAGTGTATTGGATTTAGGAAGCAATCTCTCATTCACTTGCGAATAGTCAGTACAGCTTGCTTACCGGACTTTGTAGAAGCATTAACATGAAAGAAAGGGTAAATCAGTAAGGATGAATCTAGAGGCACAGCTTTTGTTTGGCTGATTTTTTTAATTCCATTTTTCTATTCATTATTTCAAAATCAATCCAAACTTCTTTAGTGTTAGGTAAGGTTCAGTCAGTGGGGGTGGGAGGGAAGGCCCTTGCAAAAGAAACAATCTAACAGTCTTGCTAAATTGATGGTTAAAAACTGCATTATTTTGGAAGCAGAATGCTGGCTAGCTGATATTGCAATTACAGCAAATGAATTCTTGGGAAACCCCCAGATGTATTTTGTACACCATCAATACTAGAGTTAGATTTAAACACACATACACATATTGCAGGAGAAAGGGAATCCCATGCGCAGCTTTCCAAAGCAAATGGCATTAGGAACAACAGTATAGTCTCAATACAGATACTAAAGACACATAGTCCAATCAGTTAAGTACAGCTTTTGGAAAGTCTGTAACGTTTGTAGCTAGTTTCAGCGGAATGACTCACTGATAAATGTATGTAAGTAGAAGAAAGAGGCGGGAAGGTTGGCTGGCCTGCTCAGCACCTGAATAGATGTATCATCATTTTGTGCGCGTCTCTTGACCCTCAGTTTGTTTTTTGCAGACTGCCGATAAAAATAGTAGCCCCTAGGAATGAGTTCCGCTCTTCAGCGTTACTGACTTCTGTCACTCTTTACTGCTAAAAGCAATGCTGCAGTGTTGCCAGACATAAGGAGCCTGACTGCACTCCCTGTTAACTATGGGATGAGTTGGTTCATCAGTATCTGTGCTGCTACATTGACTTCTGTAGCTAAGAACATGACTTTGCCATGTGCCTTTGCAGATGCCTTTGTTTCTCTCTACAAGTTGCTACGGCACGCTTGCCTGTTCCCACACTGTTGATCTCCATGCTTAAAACAGCGTGTCAATCTGCAGCTAACATCTGTGTGATGGATGTAAGGTGCAATAGTCATCATGTAAGCGCATGATGAATATTCACCAGTGCTAATGCTTGTATCTCCTGAATCTAAACGCTGCTTTTGTAGGATTGGTCAGACGGGTGGGTCTCCTCCTCACTTTCTCACGAGCTAACTAAGAAATGGTTGTTTGGCTAACAGCAGCAATTCTGTGAACTTGCTAAGGACTTTCTGGCATGTTTTGGAACATGTGTTTCTCCTCTTGTCTTCCTCAAGAAGCCTCCTTTGACTTTAGCATGGTGTGCTCAAAAATGCTTTGCTCAAAAATGCTTTGCTCAAAAACAGCACAGTATCCTATCCCTTTGTATTGGGAAAGCTCAGGTCTTGGTCCGTGGCTCCTTTCACCGCACCTTCCTTTCTTCTGGCTATTTATCTTCAACTTTAATTTGTGTTGCTTCTAGTGTTGCTCTGTGTAACTCTCACTGCCTGGATACGTACATATTCTACTCTGCTGACAGCCTAGGTCTGCTGATCCCGTTGTATTGGTTTAATTTCTCCATGATGGTCATCCTTTTGGGCGAAGCATCCACCTCTAACATGGTGCTAGTTAGCTCCCCCTTTGCTCTCTTAATGTTTGATCTTCTAATTCTCTCTCTCTCCCCTTTCTTGCAACGCTGGAGCTGTCTTTGACTTGCATTTCTTTTCTCTGACTGTAAGCCCCCTTTTCTCTCCTCAGTCTCATTTGCATATGACCCTGCTAGTAGCCATGTCTGTGTCTTTATCCGCTCTTGCCTTGGTTGAAGCAGCTTCCCATCACACTCTGGCTCCCTAGGTGCTGGTAGCTGTTGCCCAGAAGACCATACTGCAGGGGTTTGTACCCCAAGATCCTCAAACACTGACCTTGAGAATGTAAAAAGACTAATAAAATTAGGTCATTAGAGAGCTAGGTCATTAGATCATCAGAATTAGATCAGGGAAGTCTTCCCATGAAAGTCCTGTGGGTTCTCTGCAGTTTGGAATGTCCTGTGCTTTCCTCTGTGAAGCTTGAAAAGTTGTAAGCAGGGCTTCTCCCATCGCTTATTTTCTGTAATCTAATAGATCTGACTGTTAGGAATTTTGTTCCTAAATTCTTCCTTTCCTTAGTTTTCTATTACTGCTGGTTATATGTATGACATGATATTCTCCATGAAGAACGATTTAAAACCACTCTTTTTGAACAGCAGGGGAAAATCTCTTTATTACATGATGATGAGCCAGAAACGCAGTACTCATCTTTCATTATGCTTGACAGAAGTGCTTATGTTCAAGTTTTTTTTTCCTTTTGAATGATCTCCGGGCCCAGGAAAATCTGAGATCAATTTGTGGTACCCGAGAAACCATAATTAGTGATGACATCATGTTACAACCCAGGCTGGGTATGCAGTGCAGAGAAAAGGGATTTTATGTGTGTGCATGTATGTTTGGGGGGAATTGGCGTAGGGGACTTGTCCCGGAGATTTGGAAGTAAACTCCACAAATCAAGGCCTTTGGGTTTTTCTGCTGTGGCTTATGGTGAGACTCTAGATCTTAGCTGTTACATTTGTTCAGAGCTTTGAAGCAATCTCTTATGACTTGATTTGTTTCAGAAGTCTACAAAGCAGAAAAAGAAAGGGATAGTTAATTTCTGTGGCCCTTTGAGGGAGAGGAGGCCTGGGAAACAGGATAGCAACTGGCTGGGGATGGGAAGGCTATATCTTAGGTGACAAAGAGGTGACTGCAAAACCTCAGAAGGATATAGCAGAACAGCATGCAGTAAGAAAAAGAGAAGGTAAGCTAACTGTGGTAGATAAGCGCTGAAAGGGGAAACGAGCTGCTTGGGAGTGAACATCAGAGTTAATTACCATATGTTATTTAATTCATATATGGTAAAGAATGGTTGACAGAATCTGAAATTCATACCCTATTTTGTTTCATGCCAGCAGTGATTTTGCCTGAAGAGAGATGAGCTAGCACCCAGAATTTGAGTGGGCATAATATGTATTATCCAGTTGATTTTAGGAACCAAAGCTTTGTGTTTCTGAGCCTGAAGGAGACTTTTCTATACTTGTGTTGCCAATGATAGGGCATGAACCTAATGGCAGGGATTTTTCCAGAGTTATGAAAGACATTTGGGAGATGGTAGATACAGGTATATTTCACAGAAAGAGGTTATTTATTACCATCATAACCCAGGCTTGTGTGACTTCGAGAAACATTTGGTAACGACTGAAATAGCAGAAGAGCTGAAAACTTAGTCTTTTGTGTAATTTTTTTAGGACCGGAGTCCTTTGTTGCTTCAAAGAGTGTTATCTGGGCCAGCACTACTCTCTGGGTTCAGATGGGCTGTCAGTATGGACACATATTAGCCAAGTGGTTTCTAGTTATCAAGTTACCTAATTTAGCACTTAAACAGTGTTTTTTCTGCTTGTGCAATGAATAACATGACTGCTTGGTAAGTCACATATGGTGGCATTTTGTATTTACATCCTGTGATAGGGAATTATAATTATCTAACCAAGTATATATCACCTCCTGTTCAGACTGACATCTACCATTAGTGCCAAGATTCAGTTTGTAGGGCTGAATAAGCCAACCAGTACATTTAGGTTTCTAACTTTACATTTTATTCTTCCACCTGTGTTTATTCAGTTCCTTCCTTCCAGTTGTTATTGTCTATGAGGTGTTCCTTTCGTAAATTCAAATGATACAGCAAACAGTTTTATTTCTGTTAAATACTTAAAGCCTTTAATCTAAATGCTTTGGACTTGAGTTCAGACTTATAAATGCTGATGCAGTTACCTCAAACAGCAGTTTATTTATTTAGCCTTTAGCTCTGTGACTTAATCAGCCTGTAAGTGAGCTCTTCCTGTCTATGCCTGCAGGGTAGGAAAGAAGGAATATTTCTGAAATAAAAGCACAGGAAAACAAATGGGTTTACAGCTCATCCTCTCACTCCATGTGTGAACAGTGAGATTTGCTTTAGCAGCTTCTAAATGAACCTTGCCAACGCTGAGATAAATCAGATATCAAGTCAGAGCAGAATAGACTTGAAATCCCTCAAGAGATTCCAGTGTTCAGGCACATAAAATGCCAATACATTAGTTTCAAGTTGAGGAAATGTTTTAATTATCCCCTGTCCAGGTAGCAGTGTAGGCTATGCACTGTCTTAGGATAGAAGGATGGTTTTAATTTTATGCAGCAGTTGAGTCCCACGGCTAACAACTGATGATTTGAACTTAAAAGGCCTTTTTGAAGTGATGGACTGAATCGGTAGTCATCAGCATGAGGCCTGAACCTGAAGGTAGCTGGTTCACATCTCTCTCGGGACAGTTGTACCCAAAGCGAGCATCCTTGTGTTCAGGTGAAGCGAGGTGAAAATCTCAGTCCCACCTCTAAAGAGCAGGTGTCCTCATCTCCACAGAAACCCCTCCACCATCTTCAGTGAGCAGAGGCAGAGATGGGGACTCTAAGGCCAAGGCTAATGCTTTGTCAGGTCAGCACATGATACGTGCAGTCAGGCCCTGCATTGAACCTGGTGCGTTTATAGAATGACAGTCTGTGAGTGACAGGAGAAAATACAAGACATGCAAGCTGTATCCCAGTGAAACCTGTTCTGCCTTCCGCTTTGTTTAGCCGCTCTCTCTCCTTGAGATAGTGCCATATGCTAATGCCTGTGTAGAAACTGACTCTTGTCATCCTTTTGAATACCTTCCTGAAAGTGTTGCCATCCATGCGTGAAATGCAGCTCTCCTGGGAATGATCTTCTGTGGCATGATGCACATGCTGGAAAGTGAGTAAAACTGCTGTCTCCCAAACGTCCTGTACTTAAAGATGACTGTCATGGACACAGCACAGACAGGTATCAGCTTGGTAGTTGAAAACCCTGCAAGCTGAGGGACTGCTGCAGATCAATTACTGTGGTCAGAAGGACTGTCAGTAACCTGGATCACAGCTAGGAAACTGGTGAAATGTCTATTGCAACTGCAGGGGAACAAGAATGACAGTAATCACATGACCATGACAATAATCACAATGGACCATGATGCTGAGTTTCACTTGAAAACTGCAAGCCTGAATCTTCCTAGTCAGTGGGCCTGGGAGCTCTCTTTCTCTAACTCATCCAGTGTGACTGTTTTTCTGGTGCTGACAGCTTCATGATCACACTTCTCCTTTTTTCCTTCTTTCTTTCTTTCTTTCTTCATGAAACCAGCTGTGCTGTTTGAGGGATCGGCA